CTTGACTATCTCGCCCTACGGGGCGACACCAAGGGTGCAATCTTTATCACGCGCGGCGGAATAGCAGTAGCTCGTGAGGCATTTGCTTTACAGCTGTCTGAAGCAATACGACTGTGTGGTCTGGACCCAGCTCGCTACAAAGGGCATAGCTTTCGTATTGGTGCAGCCTCGTACGCGGCAAGTCAGGGGATGTCCGATTAGTGCGACATGTCAGGAAATAGTATAGTTCACTCGCGCAAGATGACAGACATAAATACTATATTTCCCAACGGTGTATACAGTATTGTGAGTTGCGGCATTGTGAAATGTTCGCTTTAATTTAAACTTTTGTATATCTTCAACGAAACTCCAGGAAAATTTCGTTACTAGTTATCAGTGGTGTCATGTAACAAAGTAAACTTTTTCTGCAGTACTTTTACTTGGAACGAAGTTGTTTTAAGAAGTAACGTTTTACTTCGTTATTTTCATTTTGTGGCGAAGTACTTCGTTACTTTCTAACTTTTGTTTAATTTTAAGTTATTTATTTCTTATTTATTTTACTTTTTGGATAGGTAATAGGACCTCTACATGCGTCTGGGATCTCTCGTTTGTGGCTTACTTATAAGCATTATTTATTTAATGGATTTCTTATATCTTCAACGGGGTCTGGAAAGTAAACCATGCCGTGAAATATTGTATATTCGGTGCACGCATATAATGCGTGTGAACAAAGGCAGATTTCGTGCTCGACCAATCAACGCATTTGTTTACATTTTAGCTCTCAGCCAATCATAATGCAAGAAACGCGAAATTTACACCAAGGGGAGCTAGAAAATATTGCCGTCTTCTCGGGCTTCCGTGAGATTCAATTTTAATTTTTTAATTTAAAACCAAAAGATTATGATAAAGCACATTAAAATCTAAAACTTTGCCGTGGGCATTTTTAAATTTCGACCTAGAACGGAAAATATCCATGTTTGAAGTTTTTCCTTATGTCGCGTATACAAATTTGAGTTATCTAATTTGACTGCAATAAAACTAAAATTGCTATATTTTCTCTGCTTTTAAGGTTTTGTTGGAAAAGTCTTTTTCGCCCTTGTTGCAAATTGTTCTGGTCAATGTTCTAGACGATTTAAAAAAATATAATCGGACGCTCGCGATCATACGGGAAATCAATACAAAAATATTGTCCGACCAATTTTGCAGAAAATCAGACTCTCTAAACGCGTTATCTTCTAGGTTATGAAATAATACATTGACCAAAATGATTCTCAACAAGAGCGAAAAAGAGTTTTCCAACAAAAACGTAAAGCAGAGAAAATATGGACAATTTTTAGTTTTATTGCAGTCAAATTAGATTACTCAAATTTGTATACGTGACATATTACGCGACATAGGGAAAAATTTCAAACACGGATATTTTCCGTTCTAGGCCGAAATTTAAAAATGCCCACGGCAAAGTTTTAGATTTTAATGTGCTGCATCATAATCTTTTGGTTTTAAATTAAAAAAGTTAAAATTGAATCTCACGGAAGCCCGAGAAGACGGCAATATTTTCTAGCTCGCCTTGGTGTAAATTTCTCGTTTCCTGCATTATGATTAGCTGAGAGCGAGAATGTAAACAAATGCGCTGATTGGTCGAGCACGAAATCTGCCCTTGTTAAGCTACGGATACATGGGCAATACTTTTCTGGCGATGGCAACGCAATGGTGGTAAAATCGTTGCATTGCCGTCGCGAGAAAGAAATTGCTTGTGTATCATGCTCTGCGACGGCAACGCAAAGCTGCGC